GAGCCCGATGCGGGACTCGATCCCGGGACTCCAGGATCATGACCTGAGCCGAAGGCAGTCGCTTAACCAACTGAGCCACCCAGGCGCCCGGTACTCAGTTCTTTAAATAACAATTCTGACAAACAACAGAAGGAGTTACGGGATGCTGCCCTTGTGATCCATACAAAACACCAACATTCTGGATTGTACATAATTTAAAGATATGTCACACACTTTTTGAAATACAGTAGTAGCCAATACATAGAGGCGTGCCTGAGGTGGGCATAGGGACGCAGTTCAGAAAAGAAAGAGAAATATCACACTGGAACTACCCAATTTCTTCAGAATCACTGAGCAAGAAAAGAGACATTAAACTTCCATACTGATTTTATACAACCTCCATACAGTATCTTGGCTCAAATCCAAGAGCAAAAGTGAAGACTCTTCACCTCTATTTTTGGTGAACAACTACATGGTAAACTTAGATGACTTTTGCCCCTGGATTTCACCTGGGAGTGTGGCCTTTTTAATTTTTTACTTACAAGTGGGCAGATTTGGCACTTTTATATTGATGATATTGATGTCACCAATGTTAATATTTCTTGGGACCTGAGGAAGGTTCCCGTTCTTCCCAGCTGATACAGAATAGGCTGGAGCTCCCTCTAGCCAGCCTCAGCTTTCTCCAGTTTATTGTGTGCATCAATTTGTGTAACGAGCTCATTCATGTTCGTCTCCAATAGCATTCCCCTCATCACTATTTCAGCAAGAATATTATGAACCTTGTCTACGTGGGAAAAATTAAATTCAGCTCATAGACATTTTCAAAACACCTGCCCAATGTTTCCACAAATACTTGAATGAGATCTAAGATGCCAAGTTCGCTTTCTGAAGAACACACAGAGAAGACAAAATATAAGGTTGCATAATGTCTATAAATCAGTTTGTTGTCAGAGCCTCCAGGTAACGTCGGGCTGGTAGAACTTGGAGAGCCAGGCTTCCCAAGGTTGTTGAAGATGATGATCCATCAAGGCTGAGAGGGACCTGGTGGGTACCAGGGGCCAGGGCAGGGGCGGGGTGCCTCGCCTGCCTCGGGATATCAATGGCCATGCTTCCCCACCTGCCTGTCCCTCAAGAGTGCGCTCCGGAGGGGTTCTGGAACCCGGAGAGAGGACCTGGGTGTGTGGGGTCACACGAGAGCCCGTACAAGTCACAAGGCCCATGAGACCCAGGCCCTGCCCACCTGCCCTCTGGCCTGTGTGCTCTGGTCTTCTCACCTGTACCCCCTTGATCAGCTAAGCTTTCTTCCTTTCACTTTCCTTTCTTCCTTTCTCCCTTTCCCCCGGGGCTATCTCCAGGGAGGGGAGGGGAGGGAAGACAAAGGGCTGGGAGCACCATCAGTAATCCCCTCCAGTTTTTGTGGCCCTGAGGCTCACACATTTGGGGGATGGGGGGAGACTGCTTAAGAAAAATAATTTGAAATTAGTTGTGGGGTCTTGGAGGGGCCATGTTTCCTTGCTTCCCTTTGCCTCCAATCCTGGCTTCCACTCTAATGTTGAGACCCAGGTGGTTCCCAAACAAAAAGAACATTTGTAGGTAACCAGCCATTCTGATTATTCTTCTTCCATTTTTTTTCCCTAAAGTTTGTTACTCTTTTCCCAAGGACCATGTTTAGGTGCATGAAATAAAAAGCCACCTATAATTGCTCATAGAAGTATGCAGGTGACAGCAGGCGCCATCATGCCAGGAGGCAGTGAGGAGGAGGCTGCAGGAGGTGGGGGGTGGTCATGGAGGTGGAGAAGTGCTTTGAGAGAAGCCACAGGGAGAGGTGGAAAGAACTCTGCCGAGGTGCCAGCCAGCCTGACAGAGCGGTATCTCAGGCTCAGTGGGGAGACGTAAAAGAAAGGTAAGACTTGGACCTGCCTGGCAAAGCTTATGATCTAGTGTGCAAAGCAAGCACCAACACTAACAGGGCACAGAGGTGCTTACTGCATTGCGCAGGGGGAGGATTTGATGTCAAGGCTGGAGGCCGGGGCGGGGGGGAGGGGGTCGGGCTCCAGCTGTCCTTAGCAGATGGCTAGGATCTGGAGGCATCAGTAAGAAAAATGATCAAGAAAACCACTTAAAAATAAGGGCAAGTCCCTTGGCTTATTAAGGCAGCCAGTGCGGCTGATGTGTAAACTGCCCCAGTTTGCACAGGTGGGTGGGGGGCCGAAAGGCACCAGCAGTGATGGGATGTAATGATGGGGATGAGCTTTTTAAAAATTTAAGTCGGAGGGCGCCTGGGTGGCTCAGTCAGTTAAGTGGCTACGCGTCTGCCTTTGGCTCAGATC